ATAAAATTGAACTTTTATTTGATTATACGAATTTACAGTATATCAAAATGAAAGCCAACAAATGTGTGTGCGTGACGAAGGATGATACCAAACTGATTTCAAATGCTGACTAAACAGAAGGTACAATGCGCGCAGCCAAAGATGAGACCTGTCAGATGCTAGTAGAGAGGATTTCGCGCATGTACAGTCGCGTTCAAAATAGTTAAATAAAACAATTAGTTCGGATTAATAAAATATTTTATTGCATATCGAAATCGCTATCGCTGTCTTCATAGTTTATAAAACGTACACCGCTTATGTACTCGTCGGTGCGATGGCAACCACTATCACGAGCTGTCCCACTTGTGCTTGGCTGTGGTGCGACTATTTCATCTTCGTCGGAGCTATTTTCACTATTCTCCGTGTCACTGTCACTATCATCAGAAGAAGCGCCAACTGCTATTATTATTTCCTGATCTGTTAAATCGTCAATAATGTGATCATTTTCAATGTATTCATTTTCTATTTTTTTCGTTTTTTCACATAAAGCTTTCCATTCATTTGGACCCATTTGGTCTACCTTTTCCTTCACCAACTCCATAACTCTTGTAATGTTCCACTTCACGTTCTTACTACTGACATGACCTTTTATTGCTGCCCATGCCATTTCGATAGGGTTTAAATCGGGATGATATGGGGGCAATCTAAAAACGCGGTGGTTATGTTCTTGCAGTATTTTGTCAATGCTGTAGATTTTGTGGCTCTCTTTGTGTTTTTTTATTATGTCGTAAAGCTCTGACTTCAACATGTCGGAAGGAAACGCGATACCTTTTTCTGCAAGCCAAGATTGCATCTCGGCTTTTTTCGTATTCGAAGTTGGCGCATTCTCATCCTCCTTGTTATGGTAGGACGCATTATCAACTACCACGACGGCATTTGGTGGGAGATTTGGAATCAATTGTGTCTCAAGCCATTTTTTATAATTAATGAAATTCATGTCGTCGTGGTAGTCCCCTGATTTTGTTCCTGATTTCAACATTAATAAGGTGTTGGCAACATAATATAGTATCTATGATTCGATTGATATAGTTTATTTTTGTTATCTGTAATTTCTCTTCATATATATATATATATATGTCTATGGTTTTAACTTCCTTCCGCTTCCATTCGTGCTTGTAACTTGTGCTCAAATAAAGTGGTGTGTTAATAACTAAAAAATAAGTGTTTTTTATACGCCTGACCTCACCTGGAAACAATTAATATACAGTCCACGCTCTGCAGCTGGAATAACCGTGTGTGTTGGGTAACTTTTTACACTAGTGCCCTACATAATGGTCCTTCTATGATGCGCCATCGCCTTGTCTGCACGTGCCGTCTTCGTTAAAGAATTCTCCCGCGAGCCGTTTTCGCCTTTAAGAATTCTCCCGCGAGGGCAGCAAGAAGCTACAACGCAGAACCCAGGACGCAGAGGTCTCAGTAGAAAGAAAAAGCATCAACATCAAGTTAGTTACCAACTCATCTTTAATACATTCGCCCGCCATCTTTATTACGAAGCCCTCACAAAGTCTTCAACATACTACCAAAGACAAAGAGGAAGGAGCACATCAATCAAACAAACAAGCGAAGCCGGACCGGAAAGAGCGAGTCGATAAACACAATAGTTGTCTGTCAATGTCAACTGCGATTCACTTCCTTCAGTTGGCACTACAGCATACGAGCGCCGAAACCCGACGAATCACGTACGAGTGCAACCAACCAGTAGCCAATCACTGCGCGCCTCACCGTAGCAAACGAAGCGGTCGCCGACAACGTTCGTACTGCGCGTAAGCAAGCATCAAGCGTCATTTAACTCCACCATTTTGATTTTAGTAGTAATTACTAATTACTTGTAACAAAATACACATAGCTTTAAGTATTTTTTCGGTTCAAGTGTTAACTAACATTAGGAAAGCTAGCAATATATTGCCCTATTAGTGAACATGGCCGACACAAAAGTTAATATTGCAAAAAGGGGTTATGCAAAGATGTCTATTACTAAAATTCATAATGCACTAATATCAGGTGAGTTGCAATCACGTTCGCTAGAACGACTTATAGTTGTAAGAGATAGGGTCGTCAGCGTTTTTCAAGAATATAGCGATGCTTGTATCCAAATATGTGCACAAAATCCTGAAGATCCGGAGGATTTTAGTAAAATCGAAGAAATATACTTCGACATTCTCTCTAATATCGATAAGACAATCAAAAAACACAATTTGAACACTAAAAATGAGACGCCTAACGACTCAGATTGTAAGCAAACTTCGAGCATTAGGTCAAAGCTTCAATTACCTAACGTAGTCATGTCAACATTCACTGGCAAATATACCGAGTATTACTCGTTTATAAACCTTTTCAGCGCAATGATTGACAAAGATGAGTCTCTCTCACCTGTTCAAAAGCTATATTATCTTAAAGGTTTTCTAAGTGACGAGCCAGCAGCTTTAATTAAAAACCTCCCATTAGAGGACGATAGTTATGCTGAAGCAATAAAATTACTTAAAGAGAGATATGATATTAAAACTAAAATCATACACGAACACATACATACACTGTTAGATTTGCAACCCATTACTCGTTCTACTCCTAACACAATCCGTAAACTAATTTCAGACGTTAAACAGACACTCGCAGCTCTAAAAAACCTCGAGGAGCCTGTCGACAACTGGAGCAGCTTGCTTGTGTGTGTGCTAGTGAGGAAGTTAGACAACCTTACACGCTCTTCATTCCAGATGGAGAGAGACAACAAGTGTTTACCCACAGTAGGGGAGCTTTTAGGTTACCTGGAACGTCGAGCATTGTCATTGGAAAACGACTCCGTTCCCAACAATCAACCTCAACCCCAACGGTTGACTAGTATTGCTGTAACTGCATCTGCTTCTACCTCCTGCACCTATTGTAAGTCTCCGCACAAGCTTTTCCAATGTCCAAATTTTAAAATGGCGGCACCCACAAAACGTCTAGAGTTTGTATTAGCAAATAAGCTGTGTAAAATATGTCTGTCTTTCCATAAACGTAACTGTAAATATCATTTTAAGTGTGGTGAATGCAAAAAGCCTCATAACACATTACTGCATCAAACAGATCAACAGCCATCGAGCCCATCTGTCAGTTTGTTATCGAGCGCTCCTCGGGGACAAGTGCTTTTGCCTACTGCTAGAGTTAAGCTTATTTCCCAGACAGGCACGATTATTTACGCACGAGCACTATTGGACAGTGCCTCACAAGTATCATTCATCACTGAGAAACTTGCCCTTATATTAGGCAAGGTTCCCGACAACAATGCATCAATTATAATTGGCATTACCAACACTGAGCAAACAGTTAACTTGCAAATAAACCTTGATGTACACTCTATTAGTATATACATATAAGGTCAATGTTAATTGTCATATTGTTAAAACAATAACCACAAAGTTGCCTCAAGCACCTATCGACACTTCCAATCTAATATTTCCTGCTAACTGCAATCTAGCTGACGCTACCTTTAATATGCCTGGTGATGTGCATGTATTGTTAGGAGCTGATGTCTTTTTCCAGGCCCTGTTGCCACTCCATGAGTCAATAAGTAACGAGGGTCCTGCAAAAACAGGCACAACATTCTCCGAGCAACCATCTATAATTCACACATCATTTGGGCACATAGTAGCGGGACGCAGTGCCTATGACACTGCCAACAGTAAGCCGGTTATATCTTTATTTTGTCAGGAGTGTGATAGCAATTTAAATGAGTCATTGAGTGCATTTTGGGAAACTGAGCGAGTGTCTGAAATTTTCCCCGAGCAATTACCTGAACAAGAGTTTTGTGAAAAGTTTTTTAATGAGACTACAAAGCTTGACAATAATACATTTCAAGTTTCGATGCCTATTTAAGTCCCGTTACATCAAATAAACTTAGAACTGGGAGAATCATTTCACTTAGCCTATAAACGTTTTCTTAATTTGGAAAAGAAATTACATAAAAATAAAAACCTTTTCCACGAATACAAAAAGTTTATCGATGAATATATTGAATTAAATCATGGTGAGTTCATTAATATAAATAGCTATAACTTATCGAAAGATCCTATTTACTTTCTCCCTCACCATGCTGTTATTAAAAAGAATGCTCGTTCTACAAAATTAAGAGCAGTATTCGACGGCTCAATGCGTACGAACAAAAGAATTTCATTGAACGATCTCTTACTCAATGGCCCTGTAGTACAGAAAGATTTATTAGAAACACTTATAGCTTTCAGATTAGGAACCTTTTTCTTTATCTGCGATATACGTAGGATGTTTAGGTGCATTAGATTAGATCCTAGTCAACGTTCACTTCAAAACATATTATGGCGCGAATCACCAGATGAAGACATCAAGTGCATACAGCTGTCCACTGTCACTTATGGTCTAAAGTCGTCATCTTATTTAGCCACTCGTTGCCTGATTGAACTTGCCAATAGATTAGAACATTAGATAAGGAACAATTTCCATTAGCATCCTCTATTTTAATTAATAACACCTACGTCGATGATGTATTAGCTAATAATAATAACAAGCAAGTATTATTAAAAATGCAGACTGAATTAGTAGAGTTACTTGCTCTGGGAGGATTTCAGCTCCACAAGTGGGCTTCCAACTGTGACTCCGTACTCAAAAATGTACAAAATAATAATTACAACCAAGAAAGCGAGGTTGATTTAAGCAAAACTGAAACATCTGTAAAAACTTTAGGTATTGAATTCGTTATTAATGATGATACCTTTACAAGCTCATGTCCTGAACCTTACATTAGTGTAAATGATAGCAAGAGAGACATACTTAGCTATATTAGTAAGTTCTATGATCCACTAGGGTTAATCGGTCCAATTTTTGTTCGTGCAAAGGTAATCATGCAAAAACTGTGGGCTTCTAATACAGATTGGGACTCTCCTCCCCCACAAGACATACGTCAGATGTGGATAGAATTTGTTAGAAACTTAATTGAATGTAACAGATGGATATTATACTTCGTGTCGATTCAATCTGGACTCAATCGCTCTCTTAGCATGAGGGAGTTGAGGAGATGACTTCTTAGCCAGATCTAATACCCTCTGGGCATCGTCTGTGATGGCCCGGACATCCGACAACTTCTTTGTGTACAGTTGTCTTAATGCCAATCCTATCTTCTTGATGTCTTCAGTCTCAGCTTGTCTGTTCTTGGCCCACTGAGAATCCCATACTCCCCCTGATCCATCAATAGTCTCATCGAGTGCAGCTGCGAAGATAGTGCACAGAATGAAGTTCTCAGCTCCAGACATGTCCTTCAAATACCCGTCATCTATGACCCTTGCCCAGGGTTGGGTGTATTGGACATTCCCTTTCTTCTGGAATTCCTTCATGAACTTAGCTACTTTGACCCAAGACTCCCGTGTGATATCAAAGAACAGCTGTTTGCACAAAGATGGCCAATCTACATTGAAATGGTGCAACACCTCAATGAGAAGATGGATGAGGGCCATACCATTATAAGAGGTATGGGTCAAACAGCTAGCTCCCAACATGGCAGCCATCTTCTTTTCCTGCTTTTGGGTCAGTAATGTCCAGAGATTGACCAACTTGGAAAACAGGAGGATGGGCCTAGACAGTTGTTTGTTGAAGGCATCCTGTGCATGTTCAAGGGCCTTAGCACATGGAGGACAATAGATCGGGTCCTTCATCGAGAGCAAAGCGATCAAGTTCTTCCTGTATTGTGCTTTACTAAACGCACTAGCCATTTGGTTTACATCCTTCACTAACATCCTAACCATGGTTAATGCGGTGTAGCCCAGCACACGACGGACTTGGATCAATCCCTTGCCTTGGGCAGCGGTTGCATCTGTGGCCTCCAGAGTCCTCCTCATCTCATCCAGAAATGATTGGCTGATGGCAGATGTGTAGTTGTAGATGAGAGGATTGGAAACAGAAGCTTCTGCCTTCGTCTCGGGTGACCCTGGAAGATCAGAAACCTTGATCCCTTCTGTTGTCTCCAACTTGGCTAGCATACCTTGGCGCTTTGGATGATACTTTTAAGACCCTGGCAGTGCTGGGAGATTGACGACCTTCTTCTCCCACCGTAAACTCAGGACTAGTCTCAATGAGAGAGTCCGCTCCTCCATAATCAGACTCTTCCCAGATTGTAGAACTAGCTCTGGTACAATCCTCTGGAGGGAAGATTGCAATCGCCGCCGCAATTATGTCAAAAGCGGAGTATCCACTAGCAACCTCCCCTGTCGAATACAAATTGATGTATCTAATCAGGATCGCTCGCTGGGTCCCGGCTTCCAGACATGAGGAAGGAAATGTCATCTTCTTTGCAAGTCTTTTCGTGGACAAGTCGGTTTCTCGATAGTGGATACTGTAGAAAGTATAGCATCTTCGATGACGGACTCCGTGTCTAGATCGTGATGAAGAGCGAAAAAGTGAAATAAGTACCAGAGGACTCAAAGCTTCCAGAAGGCCCTTGAATTCTGTATTTTTTCTTTCTCAGATTTGACAACCGATACTTTTCTCGCATGCTTTAAACGATTCATTGCGAGACGAAACCTGCCCAGCGACGTCCACTGCGATAACGGCTCGACGTTCAAAGGGGCAAGGAACCAGTTAGATGAACTGTATCGCTTGCACGCTTCTCCAAGTCACCAAAGCGAAGTACAATCCTTCGCGGCTGCTAGAGGAATCAATTTCCACTTTATACCTAGTTACAGCCCGATATTTGGTGGACTTTGGGAAAGCGGTGTAAAAAGCGTGAAGTATCACTTGAAACGTGTAGTAGGCAAGGCGTTACTCACGTATGAGCAACTCAATACTGTTCTAGTAGAAATAGAGGGCGTTCTTAATTCTAGACCGCTCACCGCAGTTACTGCCGACCCAAATGACCTCAATTACCTCTCTCCAGGTCATTTTCTGACAGGAGCACCTCTTAATTCTTATCCAGAACACAATATGTCAGATACACCTACTAACTTACTTAAATTTTGGTCTATAACCGTAAGTATGAAACAAAACTTTTGGAAATATTGGAGTAAACATTATCTGTGTCTTTTACAAAGCAGGCCCAAATGGCGTGACGTTCCTTCTAACGTAAAAATCGGTAGCTTAGTCATATTACGTAGTGATAATAGTCCTCCTTTGCATTGGCCTATGGCTCGTGTGTCCAATATCTTTCCAGGGAAAGATGGCCAAGTTAGAACTGTCGAAGTTACTGTTTCAAACGGTCATGTTCACAATAGGGCATTATCAAAAATATGTTTGCTACCTATCGATTCATAAAAGTGTTTGATTCTAAAATGTATAATTTTAATATTTAAGTATTCCTATGTCTACACAACCTATGTTGTAAAATTTATGCTGTATTTGTCAGTTACATTTTAAATTGTTCATTTTGAGGGCGCAGCTTATGTTGGCAACATAATATAGTATCTATGATTCGATTGATATAGTTTATTTTTGTTATCTGTAATTTCTCTTCATATATATATATATATGTCTATGGTTTTAACTTCCTTCCGCTTCCATTTGTGCTTGTAACTTGTGCTCAAATAAAGTGGTGTGTTAATAACTAAAAAATAAGTGTTTTTTATACGCCTGACCTCACCTGGAAACAATTAATATACAGTCCACGCTCTGCAGCTGGAATAACCGTGTGTGTTGGGTAACTTTTTACTTGGTCTTCCTCCACCGAAACCCAAGATCTTTTATTATTTTGCGCAAACTGGTTGCGGATCCCTGATATCCGATGTCATCACTCAATTTATTTTTTATCTTTTTAATTGTAGGGAGTTCTTTATTTGTTACATGAAAATTGTGAATACAGCGTTTGATCACCCCTTTATCAAAATCATCCATGCCGGTTACGGGGTTTGATCTCGGACGTTTTTTTCCCGGAGTACGAAACACGGACAGCAATCTGGAGCTATTTGCTTCCTTCACAATTCTCTTCACCGTGATAAGTGATGTCTGAGTGGCAGCAGCGGTACGTTTTTGTACCGTTTTCAAATTGCCGACGCCTTCCTCCGCTTCTTTCGCCATAAACTTGTAAACGTCATACACCATCTTCCTACTTTGTCTTTTTAAAGTTTTGCCTCGCGGCATAGTCAACAAAAACGACAACAAAATAAGAAAACAAATAACTGTAACAAATAATACAATAACGAATAACTATAACAAAAAAAAAAACGAAACAAAGGAAAACAACTATCAACTTTTGCACTGATCAGTACTTCGGACCACAGCGGCGTGAGAGCAAGGTGCGGGGAGCGTCACACGACTGATACGCATGCGCGGCGGCCGTACCTCGCCCCGCACGCTCTCGTCTCACCGCGCAACGGTCCCGTCCCTCCCCGCTTGCCTCGCTTACCGCCAAAATGGTCTGAGAACTATCTATTGCGCAGGTCTAACCACGTGATCCGTCAAGTCTCATCTTTGGCTGCGCCTATTGTACTAGTGTGTCAGCCAGATAGGGTGCAAGGTTATGATATAACAGAACGTTCCCTCGATTAAGCAGAAAAAGTCCTAACTCTGCATACCATTCCTCTACAGCTTTACCTCTATCGTTAGTGAGAGTATCACCACATGTTTGAGATTGGGCATTAAAGTCGCCTAATACTATCACTGGCAATTGTGTTCGTTGAATTGGGAGACAGTAGTAGTCCAGAAAAGTAAGAAACTCCGATAGTTCTCTGTTGGGAGAAAATTAGATAGCAACCACCCTATTACCACAGCCACAACATAACCTATTCCCTGATCCTTTAAAGTAAGAGGATATCCACCAGAACGAGCAATTATACTGACGAGGCCACTTAAACCTTCTAACCCATGACATGGTGAAGGTACTCCGAGACAACAGTAATGTAAATATCCCATTCAGCCCTAGTCTGCAGAAGAAGGTCCTGTGCCCTAGCGCAGTGGTTTATATTCGCCTGAAGAAAGTTAATATGTGCCCTACTACCTAATTGAGAAATCAGCCTCCCGAGGCAAAGCCTGATTTACAGCGCTGAGCCCTCTAGTCAAATGCGCCATCTTCGCCTTCACAACAGGAGCATTACATTTTCTTTCCCTAATTATGTAGTCCGCTGACGTACCAGCATCGCCACAGACAGCGCAGTGCACTACAGCCGCTGTATATGTAGCAGCTTGACGTCCATTATTTCCACATTGGAATCGTAACGTGCTACGATTCACATTCGACGGACATTTCACACTAATATGGCCCAAACCTAGACATTTATAGCATCGTAGAGGGCCATCTTCTATCACCTGAATGTGAACTGAACTCCAACCTAAAAGCAATCGACCTTCAGTAATTTTTATAGCCGCAGTGACTGGGCATTGCACAAAAACTACATTGTTTCCGCCCTGGCTCCTTACAAGAGAACTCGCTTTTATCAAATCCACCTCACATTCACCCTTTGCAGCTATTGCTATTGACATCTCCGCAGGGGTAGACGATTTATCTATCTTACTTTTGCGGGCAAAGACCCTCAAGCACCTGAACTGGATTATCAGTGGCACCTGCATCAGGCAGCACATTAATGGAGGACCCTACAGGTCTCGCGTGCTCTCTTTCTTTTGAAGCTGCAAGGTGCGGACGAATGATACTCGCTGGTAATAAGCGGTCCTCCATTCCGCCTATTTGGCATCGATCATTGCACCCACCGAGCGCATGACCCCACCTTAGGTCGTATTTATAAGCGTCTTCAAAAAATTTCGTTCTTGGGAGGGGTTAACTTCGGAAAAAGGAAGGGCTGATCTTTCAGAGAACTCCCTTCGCAGTGCCTTTAAATATCCTTCCAGATTAGCAGTATTTGTTCGCAGAGGTTTGTTATCCACATGAATGCTTGCGAATTTGTCTTATCTCGCCAATGTGTATTTCATATGAATAATTTTGCAGGTTATGTTTACTTGCTTCAGACTTATTAGGGTTTTTTATAGGTAATACTTTTATCAAGTTTTACAAGTAAGCATCTTGAGTTACTTTCTCTCCCAACTTATTGAGTTTTGATGGTACTCTTGTTGAATTCGATTGAGAAAATATCTCCAAGCATCGTCGATTACAAAGCCTTTATCACCTTTTTTCCTGGCTGGAATAACGTTGCCTTTTCTGTTCATTAATTTATCTCCGCAAGCTCGCAGTTTTTTACGTTTATTATCCTCAGTTCCAGAACAATTTCCCATATACAAAATGAGTATGGATTGGGACCTTCTCCCAGACGCCGCATCATTTCCTTCAAATCAAATCAGTATTAAGAGGGATCCAGACTGTGCGTGACTGATGTATTTTAAATTAAATTTTTGATCTTCGTATATACGTTGGAAGATAATATAGTAGTGTAATTACTTACAGGCTTTAACTCATCTGGTACCTCAAATACACGCTCGTCTGGCGTCTCAATAGAGGTTATGTATATCACATTTGTTTTTCCATCCGTTGACCCCATTACTATAAATTTAAATAGTAGTTTCTCCATTTTTCTGGACTTTACAAGAAATGTCGTTTTATAAGATTACTAGCTAAAAAACCCGGCTTCGCCCGGGAGTAGATATGAGATGACGTGGTAGAGTCGAAATAAAAAAATAAACTATGACGTAAAAAGTAAAAAAAAAAGTTTATTGAAAACGTTTTCTCATTATTTACAATACTTGTTTATAAACAACATTTTTCATTTTATTGTCCGGAGTATATATACATAAATTTTTCGGATTTCCTACTCTTGAGCAAGCTACACATAGCTGACCGTGAGAGAAGCAGGATTCTTTGAGGTTAATGCCACAATATTTTAAAGTTTGTCCTTGCGCTTTGTTAATTCTAAAACTAAAGGCTAATTTTATTGGAAACTGCAGTCTTTTAAATTGAAATGGCAATTCCGAAGAGATCAGAGGTATTCTAGGTATAAATACTGTCTGTCCTTTGGTCTTTCCAGAAATAAGTTCAGCTTCAATGATATTATTCGATAGCTGTTTTACGATCATTCTAGTTCCATTACATAATTTTGGGGAGTTGAGATTTCTGAGTAGTATGATTGGAGTTCCAATTTTCAGACGAAGGCAGTGTAATGGCATTCCTGGTACTTGTAAAGAGTTTAGAAATTCAGTGGGGAAGTTGACACTTTCTTCAAATGATATTATATTATTTTTAGTGGCCAAAATTGCTCTTTGAAATAACCACTTTTTTTAATGTTTTGAGAACTAATTTGGATAACTAAAATTATGTCGCTTTAACTCCAAAATATAAGTTAGCTAATGACGTATAAATACACAAAATTTAATAACTTTATTATAGCAACAAATTAAATTTAAGACTATTGAAATTGGAATTTTAAATTTCGCGCCACTACTACACATGCTGCAATGGCTCACAACTATGGAGACTATACACTATGACTATTGGAGTGTATAGTCTCCATAGTTGTCTTGAACGAAGTTCAAATATTCGATAACAGATGGCGTCACTGCACTTAATTTCCAAGTTGAAGGGTCGGAAAGTCCCTTATATCTTTAAAAACATGCCCTTTAGATTAAAACGGGAACTTTCTTGTTCGAGGGGGGATAAAGGGCTATCACACCACATAAGTCCCTTTATCGTGTCGGGACTCCTTTTTAAGTTTTATCGGCACGCACATTTTATCGACTTAGTTTTATTATATAACTAGCTAAAAATCCCGGCTTCGCCCGGGAGTAGATATGAGATGACGTGGTAGAGTCGAAATAAAAAAATAAACTATGACGTAAAAAGTAAAAAAAAAAGTTTATTGAAAACGGTTTCTCATTATTTACAATACTTGTTTATAAACAACATTTTTCATTTTATTGTCCGGAGTATATATACATAAGTTTTTCGGATTTCCTACTCTTGAGCAAGCTACATATAGCTGACCGTGAGAGAAGCAGGATTCTTTGAGGTTAATGCCACAATATTTTAAAGTTTGTCCTTGCGCTTTGTTAATTGTAAAACTAAAGGCTAATTTTATTGGAAACTGCAGTCTTTTAAATTGAAATGGCAATTCCGAAGAGATCAGAGGTATTCTAGGTATAAATACTGTCTGTCCTTTGGTCTTTCCAGAAATAAGTTCAGCTTCAATGATATTATTCGATAGCTGTTTTACGATCATTCTAGTTCCATTACACAATTTTGGGGAGTTGAGATTTCTGAGTAGTATGATTGGAGTTCCAATTTTCAGACGAAGGCAGTGTAATGGCATTCCTGGTACTTGTAAAGAGTTTAGAAATTCAGTGTCGATCGATTTATATATTTTCTCTTCACCAGGTATTTTCTTTAGAATATTAAAATTGATATCATCAACAATATTATTTCTAGTGGCCAAAATTGCTCTTTGAAATAACCACTTTTTTTAATGTTTTGAGGACTAATTTGGATAACTAAAATTATGTCGCCTTAACTCCAAAATATAAGTTAGCTGATGACGTATAAATACACAAAATTTAATAACTTTATTATAGCAACAAATTAAATTTAAGACTATTGAAGTTGGAATTTTAAATTTCGTGTCACTACTACACATGCTGCAATGGCTCAAAACTATGGAGACTATACACTATGACTATTGGAGTGTATAGTCTCCATAGTTGTCTTGAACGAAGTTCAAATATTCGATAACAGATGGCGTCACTGCACTTAATTTCCAAGTTGAAGGGTCGGAAAGTCCCTTATATCTTTAAAAACATGCCCTTTAGATTAAAACGGGAACTTTCTTGTTCGAGGGGGGATAAAGGGCTATCACACCACATAAGTCCCTTTATCGTGTCGGGACTCCATTTTAAGTTTTATCGGCACGCACATTTTATCGACTTAGTTTTATTATATATATAGATATATCTTATTTTATTTGGAATTGACGAAATTCAAATAAACTATTGTGTTGCTCTGAAAATAAAAAAACGACATTAAAGCCTATGATCGACGGGCGAGTAAGACCGTGGTTTTAAATACCGACGAAACTGGCTCGTGGCTCGTTGGTGCTGATCGATTAGGAAGCAAATCAGTCGCAAACATGTCTTGTTCTGAGACTGAAGCCTTGTGTTATCTCGCCATAGGATATTACGCAGTTATGAAAAAAAAAGAAAACGCCCTAAAGTTTGGGTTAAAAGTTGGATTGAAAAAAGGCCAGGCTTTGTCACATACCCATTTAATTCAAGAATTGGCAGCAGAGCCACTTGACTACCAAAATTATCTGAGAATGTCTGAGGAATCATACAACCAGTTGTTATGTTTAGTGACGCCTTTAATACAAAAACAAGACACTGTAATGTGAGAAGCTATTTCTCCACATGAACGTCTGAGTGCTACAATCAGATACCTGGCAGAAGGGAAAAATCATACCAGTTTGCAGTATCCTACTTTAATATCCAAGCAAACTTTGGGAAGAATTATTCCAGAGACATGCAGAGCTATTTACGGGGCATTGAAAAACGAATACATGAAGGTAAGTAAAATATTTATTTGAACTTAAAAATTTTCACAGTAGCTAGTTCAGAACAATACAACAATAATTGACTTGATCTTTGATCTTTCTAACTGAGCCGTTGACTAATCAAACTAAACATATGATTTACATTGTCGTCTTTTTGTGTCCTTGTAAATGATGGAGGTTCAGGCGTTGTAGCTGGAGATGGAGTTTGAGATGACTGTCCAGGCAATGAATTAAGCGATGGCGGTGGACTGATTATCAGCAATAAAACAAATAATTAAAGTACCTCTTGTCTTGTTTCAGTTTCCTGGTAATATAGAAGAAATGAAAATGATAGCTAAACAATTTCAAAACAAGTGGCAGTTCCCCAATTGCCTTGGATCAGTAGATGGTAAACACGTCAAAATAGTTCCACCTCCTGGCGCTGGATCCCATTTCTTTAATTATAAAGGCTTTCATAGTATTGTTCTCATGGCAATTGTCGACGCAGATTACCAATTTATATATGTTGATGTCGGCATTATCGGCCGCGTTTCTGATGGAGGAGTTTTAAAAACGACAGAGTTTTATAAGCGTTTGAATGAAGGTGCTTTAAATATACCACCACCGGAAAAACCAACACAGGACTCAGATCCTTTACCATTTGTGTACATTGGTGATGAAGCTTTCGCCTTAAGACCAGATTTCTTGAAGCCATATCCACAACGAGAATTGAGTGATCATGACAAGAGAATCTATAACTATCGAGTGTGCAGAGCTCGGAGGATAGTAGAAAATGCGTTCGGTATTTTAGCCGCAAGATTTCAAATATTTCACAGTGCTATCAACTTTCAATCAGTCGAAGATGTTAGTTTTGTGGTATTGGCTTGTTGCACTCTGCATAATTATTTATGCAAATCCAGGAGGGATTATATCACTCCAGGTGACAGTGACACAGAAAATCATATTACTGGTACAATTCAAGAAGGTCTAAGCCCGGGTGGTATTTTAGAGCCCATATCACATATATGAGCCCATATCACATTTAAAACCGTGGTTTTGCAATGATATATATCACATATATCTATACGGGTCACAACCCGTACTAGAAATTCAAGCAATAATACAAAAAAAGTTAGGGAAGATTTTGTGAAATACTTCAATACCTCTGGGGTTATACCATGGCAAGAAAGAATGATAAATTCGTAATTATAATAGGTACTCACATCGTTCAGAGAATCTTGAGTTGATACTTGACTACGACTCTGCAAGAATTGTACCCGGCCTCCCCCAGCTCTATAAAACAGGATGAATCCCAAGTAACACGTAATCTGTATATTCACTGAAGTAAAGACTGATTTACGTTTTGAAGTCAGACTATCACTTTAAATCAGTTTTGACTTAGTTTAAATGCTTTTCAGTAGAATGTGGTAAAATTTATAATGCATGAAGCTATTGTATGGTCTAAAAAATAAGGTTAATTGGCTTATAATCATACTAAAACATTAATTACTTTTAATATACAGCACCTTAAACAGCATTTACACTAACACAAAGGTTAAGACCTTATATTAGTAAATAAGAAAACCTAATACATTAAATAAACGTTGTCGAAATACTTTATAGTGAACTTAGATTTATTAACACATTTTTAGGATTAAACGCATTTTTATAATCTTTTCTTATGCTTATTTACAAGCTAAGCATTAGCCAAACATTTACTAAAGTTTTAGCTCTGTTATCTTCTTACTTTATTGTTACTTTAAAGCTTTCAGCACTATTTAGATAAATAAAAATTTAATTTTATTACTATAGGTCATAATTTGGCCATAAAACCATGAGTAGTATGATTATTTTCATTTGTGCGTTAGTATATATATACTAGTGGACCCCACAGACGTTGTCCTGCATGATATTTAAAGCGATTAGTATATTAAGCAAAGTATGAAAGTACCGACTGCAGTGCCATCTGCCGGGCTGATTTGTGAATCTAAACCATTCCCAGATCCCCTTGAACACACACAAAAAATTTCATCAAAATTGGTCCAGTCGTTTAGGAGGAGTTCAGTCACATACACACGCACACAAGAAATATATATATTAAGATACTCATTAGTAATTTTATGTCGCACGTGTCACGTTGTTGTCATGAATAAACAGTGGAAAAAGACTAAGAGAACAGGTGGAGTAAAGAGAAAGATAAAAATGGAATACTCAAATTTTATATCTGGTTTAAGTAATGAAAAACGTGTTCCAAACAATGATACTCTTGATACACAAAATACAGAACAATCGGTAGTTGTGTATGAGCCAAGCACCGTTCAAGAAGTTCTAGCAAGTGGTTCCGTAGTCGGCCAAGTTATTGAAATCTGGTAATCCTGACATTGCGAGCTGGGTTTCTCTTTGGGCTTCATAAATAGTGGGGCCGGTATCTGTGTCGCTATGCTGCATCATAATTGACAATTCCTCGTCAGCATCTTCATAGGTTAAAAAACCCGTCCGTTTGACTTTACAAGGCAACACTGACCAATCTGCGCGAGGCTTGGAATTTTCATTCCTTACTAATGCAGACTCATTAGGTCTTTTTGGATATCGCAGTTGACGCTGACTTTCCCACCCGCTTGGAACAATAAACAGTTTAGTTGATCCCCTTTCGGTCGTTTGCACAATTTTAAAAGGCATCTGAAAAAAACAATTGAGCTTATTTAGGACTTAATAGAGAAGGTACTTTACCTTAAAACTAAATAAGTACCCGTATAACGCGTGCCCTTTTTTTTTTTTTAATTTATTTATTAGCCGGATACAAAGTCCATTGGCACTTTAAAAAAAAGTATAACAAAATATCTTACACAAATAACTATTTACTATACTAACTTAACATAAAATACAATTAATATAAAACAATGGTGAGTTTTAAATTTTCTCAACCGTGTTTTTTATATAATAGTGAATAGCTTTGAATAGAACTGGACATTTCAGTAAATCTTGGACACGGCGGGGAATTTCTATTTGTGATGGTTGACATTGATGACTACCATTTGCAGTGACTGCTGATGAGTCTAAAGCTGATCTTGTCGGGTTATTTGCTAAAGAATTTCCAAGTTTAGTCCGATTATTCTCATCAAAATCCATCAACTTCATAATATCCGTTACTAGTATTAATCGTTGAAATTTAAAGGTCGGGCAACTTAAGATGAGGTGGGATAAGTCGGCCTCCTTTCCTCCACAGTATGTACATCTGTTATTATTTATAATTTTAAAACGAAATAAATGGCTTGGAGTCTGACAGTGGCCAAACCTCAAACGATTAATAATGGTTATAAATTTACGTTCATTGGCTCCTTTGTATTTGTCATACCAAGGTTTACATGGGAGTTCCTTTTGGATCTCTGCATACCAACTACCTTTATGCTGTGAGGATAATTTCCAATAGCTTTCCCATAACTTGCGACTTCTTTGTTTTAAGTCGAAAAGAAAATCCGTAAAAGGAACTCTGCATGTAATACTATGATCCTCATCATAATTAGAATTGACAATACCATCTACAATCTCATTTCCCTTGATACCCCTATGAGAGGGCACCCATTTAAATGTTACTGGAGTATCCAAAGATATCAATGCTTCTCTAATTTTATACAATAAATAATTATTTCTATAATGAGTATGACATTTGTCTAAAGCCATTAACACACTTTTTGAATCTGAAATTATTAGGAACTCCATGTAGTTATCGTTATTTTGTAAACTGTGTAAGTACAATACAACTTGATAGATAGCATAAGCTTCAGCTGTAAATATGCTGCAAGTATTACTTAACATAAAACATTTTGAGGTTTTAGCCTGAGGATCATAGTAACCTGATTTTACTGCAGATGAAGATTTAGAGCCATCAGTGTAGACTTTGTAACTGTTAGGCTTGGTACAGCAATAATCCAGAAAGTCTATATTATCTACTACACTGGACATATCTATATTTAATTTACACATAAGAGCTTTATATTTACAGAGATATACAGGCCATAGTTCAGATTTGTACATATTATCAGATAAATCAGTCATAAAGCTCATAATTCCCAATAATTCAGGGATCTGGTTATTGAGAACATTAGTCGCTGTTATACTTGAAGGCAAATCTGGTGTATTAGTGATAGTTACAGAATAAGAAAGTTTTGGAAGAAGAACATCATTCTGAGAAGTTATTACTTTCAGGCAAAATTTTTCAGCAATTAATACTCGCCGAATACATAGTGGTTCTACACATGACTCAACCTCCATAGAATTGATAGGAGTGGTACGCATTGCACCAGTAACAATTCTAAGAGCAATATTTTGGATAACATCAAGCTTTTTTAATAATACAGGACTAATATTCATATATGCCAGACAGCTATAATCAAAATGACTACGTACTAAGCTTTTATATAATAAACAAAGAATTTTTGGATCAGAACCCCAAAAAGTTCCTGCTAAGGACCGCAAAATATTGATACCTTTCAAAGCTCTACTACAAATATAGTCAATGTGTTTGGTAAACTTTAATTTAGTGTCAAAAATTACACCAAGAAACTTTTTTTCGCTATTTTGAGGGATTAAATTATTGTTATACTTAACATTTACATTAGTATCAATACCATAAGCTAAAACTGAACTTTTACTACTATTTATATTTAATTTAAGTATCTCAGTATAATAGTAGTTAAGTTGACATAAAGCTGAATTAACTTTTGCTTGAGTAACCTGTAAATTACTGCCTACACTATATATTAAGATGTCATCAGCAAATTGTAATATTTTTACAGATTCAGTCACATATGTATATATTTGTGAAGTATAAAGGTTATACAGGATTGGAGATAAAGAAGACCCTTGCATCAACCCCTTGAATGCTAATTTTGGACCATGAAAAACATTATTGTATTTAATGTATAAAGAACGACCATAATACATATGGAAAATCCATTTTAAAAGCTTTCCTGGGATGCCCAAGGAATATAGCACCCTAATTAATTGGTGAAGATCTACATTATCATATGCCCCCTGAACATCAAGGAAAACACAAATTGCAGTAGAACCTGATAACAAACACTTCTTCATATCAGTCAGGTAAGCTATAAAACTTTCTGCTGCACTTTTGCCTTTTCTGAATCCAAACTGACAAGAAGGAATAAGTTTCTGGTTTTCAACAAAATAGTCCAGTCTAATCTTAATCATTTGCTCAAACAATTTCCCTACACAAGATGTAAGAGAAATGGGTCTGTACGAATTAAAATGATCATTGGGTTTATCAGGTTTTAACACTGGTATGACACATTGCAACCTCCAGGATTCTGGAATCAATTGATGAGACCAAAGCGAATTTAAAATATTAAGTAGAATATGTTTTACAGAAACATGTAGATTTTGAAGCATAATATAAGGAATATCGTCAAGACCAGGGGTTGTATTCTTTCTTGAAGACAAAGCCATGTCAAGTTCTTCAAAACAAAAAGAGTTAAGTAGAAACTTGCTCCACTGACTTCCATCATTAAATTCGAATAAACCAGAAATATTATCATTGTTATTACTAGGTTGCCCTAACTTCTCTAAAAAGCTTGCTATCCACTCATCATTTTTGGACACATTTCTATTAATGTTAATTCTCTTAAATCTTCTAATAAAATTCCACACTCGGGATACTGGAGTGAATCTATTAAAAGACGAACAAAGACTTTTCCAACTGTCTTTCTTAGCCATTTTTATAATAATTTTTTTCCTCGAATCTATTTTCTTATATTCTATATAATTGTCCATTGTCATATTACGTCTATAATTAGCTAACGCTTCTCTTGATTTGGTTACAGCCTCGGCACAAGTATCATTCCACCAAGGAGCTGGAGGAGCAGACTTTTTACTAGAAGATTTATGCTTTAACAATGGAACACAGTTTTCTTTTAAACTAAATAGTAATTTAGAAAATTCATCATATTGAACTAAAGGATCAATTGTTGAAGGAGAAAATTTATCAAATATATCTTTGGATTTATCATTGTACA